CTCTTCAGCTCAAAGGTAGCGCTCTACCACTTGAGCCACAGCGCCACTTCTGGCTTTTTTCTTTTTGCTTATGTGGTGCTGAGGAATCAAACCCAGGGCCTCTGGCATGCAAGGCATATACTCTACCACTGAGCCACCTTCCCAGCCCTTCTCCTCTATTATTAATAAAAGTAGTGCTTGATTTTTCTTAGTAAAGAGCTCTGATACAGCAGAGTGGTGGCCAGTGGCCTAGCTTCATGGAAGGCATTTCTTCCTTTAAGTCATTGATGGGACCTTCTGGCGAGCTATGTAGTAGTATAGGTCAAATGGTGAACGCACTTGAGTAAGAAAAGGACCATGCACCTTTGATTGTAAACATAGTCCATCTAGGGTTAAAGAACCTGACCTGAACCTGACCTGATAGATTTCTAGTTTATTATATCTTGTGTGAGTAGCACAAGGAAGGAGGAGATAAATGGAAAGCATTCCTAGAGAAATAGGGCTGTGTGTGTGTATGTGTGTAAGTTTTGTGGTACTGGGGTTTGAATTCAGGGCTTCATGCTTGCTAGGCAAGCACTTTACCATCTGAACCATGGTTCCAGCCTGTTTTGCTTTGATTACTTTTGAGAATAGGATCTTTTTGCCTGGGTCATCCTCCTATTTTAGGCTCCCCATTGTAGCTATATTGACAGGTCTGGGACACCACACCCAGTGTTTTCTATTGAGATTAGGGTTTCTCATCTTGCCCAGGTTAGCCTCAAACCATGATCCTAACCAGTGTTGGCCTTTCAAGTAGCTGGGATTGTAGGCATAAGCCATAGCATCCAGCTTATCTCCTGTATCTTCAGGGCCCAAATATTTGATATTTATACAAATTATGGTGGAGAAGTGTTACAGGCATGGCTCCTGCTCTTTAGGAATTCCAGTTCTTCTGGGAGATAAGTACACAAATCTTAATAAAGTAAGAGAGATTAAGTAATTGTGTATGTGTGTGTGTGTGTGTGTGTGTGTGTGTGTGTGTGTGTGTGTGTGTGTGTATGCGCACGTGTGCGTACTCATATCGGAGCACATCCAGGGAAGGGCCAAAGAGAGAAGGTGGAAAGGGACTGGGGATTGAAAATTAGGAAGTTAGCCAGACGTCACGGCTAATGCATCTAGTGGGATCAGGAGGATAATTCAAGGTCAAAATTCAAGAGATCCTATCTCAACCAGGTAAAAGCTAGGTATGGTGGTACTTATTTGTCACCTAAATAATGTCAGGAATTATAAATAAAATCACAGTTTAGCTTAAGCATAATAAACATGAGACTCCATCTAAAAAAATAATAAAAGCACAAAGGTCTCTAGGGGTTGAGCACTAACTCAAATGCATGGCCTGAATTCAACCACAACAACCAAAAACAAATGGAAGTGGCAAAGAAATGGTATTGTAGGAGAAGTCCAAGGACACAGTGATCTTGGAGGTTATAGGTTTCTTTTAGATAGGCCAGAAATGAATGAAGAAGTGATAGGAAATAAAGCTTAGAATGAGTTCTGACCCATATGCTGTGTGGTTTTAAAACTTTGTCCACTGCCTTAGAAGGGAATAAAGAATCCTACAGAGTGTGATAGTTTACTTTCAGTTTTTCAGAATGCCCTTTCTATAGAACCTGAGGAATGTGAATATACCTGAAGGTTTTAACCTGGAGATGTGGTTTGAGCTGTTCTGGTATAATGATTTGACTCTGGGGGACTAGAAAGGGCCAGACTAATGTAGGAATTCTTTGCCTTCAAAGAGAAAATAGTGGCAATATTGTAAATAAAACCTGTTAGAGTACTTGGGAGCTATAAATAAGGACATAGAGAAAAAAAAATAAAGGTAAATTGTAGGAAAGGGTGACATTGAGGTGGGGTGGTATAATGGAAAAGATTTCTTTACGACATGCTGTTTGACCAGTTTCCTAAATGAAGGGATCAAAGCCAGCCTTGCATACATTTAGGGTTGTAGGAACAGAAAGGTGGTCAGCATAGCTGACATCTGGAAAGGGAGTTGGAGGATAGAATGTTATGAAGGGGTGCTGGGCTCGGCTGACCCAGTTGGACCTGTGACCCATGGAGGGCAGGTAGATGACAAGCACTGGATGGGTTTTAAGCAGGGAAGGGACATTATCTGATATGTTTTAAATATAATTATTATTAAGGTTTGGTACAGAGGGGTTACCATTTCCTAAGTCAGGCAATGAGTACATTTCTGGTTGTGGACAATATTACCCCTTTCTTGCTTTCCCCTCGTTTCCCCCTCCCATTCCTGCTCACAAATTACATAGATCATTTCCCACATAGAATATACTGAATAGCATGATTGCATTTGTTTACCCTTCCAACCTCCCTTTCTGCTCCCCCCAAAAGAAAAAACCCAAAGCAAAAACAAACACCACTACCACCACCACCACCACCACCAACAACAACAACAAACCCCATGTTTCCATTTGCTAGAGTCTGATCAACAGTATTTTAAATGTTCAGAGAAGTTACACCTTTGGGTTCCTCCCCTAAGTATTCTTCTCTAATCTGTGTGTGAATGTCTAGAGCCCTATAAAGGCTATCATGGCCAACTGTATTATAGATATAGCTTAACATATGAGAGAAAGCATGTACCATTTGTGTCTCAGAGCTTGGCTTACCTCATTTAATTTGATTTTTTCTAGGTCCATCCATTTGATACCTATTTTTTAAATAAGTTTTTTATTGTGAAAATACTGTACAGAGGGGTTACAATCACATGAGCAAGGTAATGAGTACATTTCTTATCAAGCATTGCTGCCTCCTCCTTTGTTTTTCCCCTACATCTCTTCTCTCCCGTCTCCACAACTACACTCCCAAGCAGAAAAGGTCAGATAAGATGATATTAAGTGAAATGAACCCCAAGATAAGGACACAAGTGTTTTTTTTCCTTGCTTGCTATTATTTCTTATGTATTTATAAAGTACCACGTGCTTTTTTTGTTGCTTTGTATGTCCCTTCCCCATGGCATAACCCGTTTTCACTGTATTTGATGTTGGTATAATTTGGGGAGTGGAAGGGAAAAAATAAATTGTTTAGATATTGATACCTCTTTTTGAAAGTCCACTCAAGAGATGAGAACTGGTAGCTCACATTTGTACTCTTAGCTAGTCAGAAAGTTGAGATCTGAGGACTGTAGTTCAAGGCCAACAGCGGCATGAAAGTCTGGGGAAAATGTTCCTCCAATTGACCACCAAAAAGCCCGAACTAGAATTGTGGCTTAAGTGGTAGAGTGCCAGCCTTAAGCCAAACAAACAAAAATCTCAGAGACAGTGCCCAGGCCTAGCGTTGAAGCCCCAGTACTGACATGCACATATACAAAGTCTACTCAGTCTGTTGCCTGTGGCTCATGCGTGTCATCCCAGCTACTCAGAAGTCTGAAATCTGAGGATCATGGTTCAAAGCCAGCCTGGGTAGGAAAGTCCATGAGACTTTCATCTTCAATGAACTCCTAGAAAATGGAAAGTAACGCTGTGGCTCAGAGTGGTAGAGCGGAAAAAGCTCAGGAACAGCACCCAGGCCCTGAGTTCAAGCCCCACAACTGACCAAAAAAAAGTTCACTCAAGTTTCCTTTTAGAGAATGCACTTAAGACCTGAGTTGCTGGGGCTGGGAAGGTGGCTCAGTGGTAGAGCGCTTGCCTTGCATGCATGAGGCCCTGGGTTCGATTCCTCAGCACCACATAAGCAAAAAAGAAAAAAGCTGGAAGTGTTGCTGTGGCTCAAGTGGTAGAGTGCTAGCCTTGAGCTGAAAAGCTGAGGGACAGTGTCCAGGCCCAGAGTTCAGACCCCATGACTGGACTCCATCCCTCCCCCCAAAAAAGACCTGAGTTGTTTCCTGTGCTATTCTTCCTCCTGCACTCAGAGGATGATAGCCTTTCAGTTTTTCAGAATGCCTTTTCTATTTTCTCTTTTTATTCTTATTCTCCTGGAGAACTTAGTCTTTTCTAAGTTAAGGGCTTAGTCTTCCTGTCTTAAACATATTTAAAACTATCCAAAGTAGTGGGATTTCTTATTCATGTGGTAAAAAGCCTTTAAGATTCTAATTGATGGGCTGGGAAGGTGGCTCAGTGGTAGAGCGCTTGCCTTGCATGCCTGAGGCCCTGGGTTCAATTCCTCAGCACCACATAAGCAAAAAGAAAAAAGCCGGAAGTGGTGCTGTGGCTCAAGTGATAGAGCACTAGCCTTGAGCTGAAGAGCTTAAGGACAGCGCCCAGGCCCAGAGTTCAGGCCCCACGACCAGAACCCCCCAAAAAAAGATTCTAATTGAGATAGCAACCCAAACTTCATCCTCTGAGGAAGGGATTGGTAACTTATGGCATGGCTTGTTTGTGTTCAGATTTTTATTGTTCAGGTTGGTACAAGGGTCAGCTTGAATACCTCTGTTAAGATGGTTCTCCATTTTGGCTTTGAGCTCACACAGATCTGGATTTCAGTCTTGACCCCTGTCACTTCTTCACAGTGTGAATTTATTTGAATTTGTTCTGAAAAAATTAGTTTAATAATACCTAATTTATACAGCTCTTACGAGTGGATGTAGTTGTGAGGTCTCTTAGCATTGTCTTGCCATAAAATAGTTGGATTCCTTCTTATTCTCCCACATGAGTAGATAAATGACTAAATGAAAAGATGAAGGAATGAATTCTTCCAGAACAAATAACTAAGCAGACTTGGTAGAGGAGAGGTAAATAAATTCATTAGGTGATTGTTGAGAGCCAACTACATTCAAGAAACTTTGGTAGGAATTAGTAGTACTGAAATGTATTAGGAAAATGTCTTTTCATTAAAAAATGAACAGTGACAAATAAACATCTAAACGTTACAAGTGGGCACGTACAAGATTGCTGATGGTGCAAACAGGAGCGGTTATTCCAGCCTGGGTTGGGTAAGGTGTGGCAGCTAACTGACCATCAAAAATGTATACAGAAATGACAGAGGTAACATCGTCTATGAAGCTAAGTTCAACTTCTTTCTCTTTCCAGATAGAGCAGGTGTTCTTTGTGTGCCTGGTAATTTCATTTTGCGTCTCCGTCACTTTGCTGTTCTTGTGGATAGAAACCTCCAATGAATACTTTGACTTTGACTGGTGAGTCTTTTTTTTTTTTTGGATACTTTTATTTGTATTAATAAGGTCTGATAGCCACTTGGATCCTACCTCAGGTTGAAACAATCAGAGTAGGTAGAATGGGGGAAATTAGACTTTTCACAGACAGCATGTAGGTAAGAGACCTGCCTGGGGCAGAAGGAGGATGCTTAGCACCCAACCTGGTACACTTCTCCCACTTGTACTCAGCTTCATACTGACAGCAAACCTGCGTCCGTGGGAAGTGTTCTCTGTGTTTCCAAAGCCTTCTCAGAGGATTCCCTGTCATCTTAATCTTAAGTCTCTGAGTTACTGATGTCTACACTACTGGGTCTTCATGAATTCTGCCTTTGAACTCTGCCTTCTCTGCTTACCCTTTCTTTCTTTTTTTTTTTTTTTTTGGTGGGGGGAGTCTGGTCGTGAGGCCTGAACTCTGTGCCTGGGTGCTGTCCCTCAGCTCTTCAGCTCAAGGCTAGCACTCTACCACTTGAGCCACAGCGCCACTTCTGGCTTTTTTTCTTTTTCTGCTTGTGTGGTGCTGAGGAATCAAGCCCAGGGCCTCATGCATGCAAGGCAAGCGCTCTACCACTGAGCCACCTTCCCAGCCCCTCTGCTTACTACCCTTTCTTTTGGCCTAATACTTCCAGTATTGCTGTCAACCTTATTCATTATTTGATATTTGGGTATGATTTTGTTTCTTAATAGGAGATAGTTGGTTTTTCTCTTTATATCAGTAAAGCCTGTTTAGTTATTTTAAATATAAAAAATGTAGAAAATTAGAAAATAAATGATCAGCCATATTCTTTAGTGAAAATCACTTGATATATATTTTCCAGCCTTTAGCAATGCTTACTTTCCTATTTATATATATATATATATATATATATATATATAATTTTGCTTTTCTTTTTCACGCAACATAGAAACATTTTAGCAAATCATCACAACTCCCTCTGAATATCATTTAAATGTTTCAGAATACATTTATTTAGATGTTTTTCTTTTGTTTCATAAGACAGGGTCTTGTTCTATAGCCCAGGTTGGTCTAGAACTCACTATATAGCCCAAGCTGGCCTTGATATTGCAATCCTTCTTTCTGCTTCTATCTCTCAAGTACTGGAATTCTCCACTCCCCCTCCACACACAAGCACCACCATACACAGTTATTTAGCTATATATATTTCGTTGCTAGACATTGAGTGTTGCCAATGTTCTTGTGCTATAGTAACGGAGAGAAATCTTCTCACAAGTGGAATTAGGTCAAGAACTTAAAATTATGCTTTTACAATTAGTAAACCTTTGTAGAACTCCTTAATAATAACAATAAAAATTATGCTTTTACATTAGTGTTTTCTCACTACGAGTCAGTGGTTCATGCCTATAAATCCTAGCTACTCAGCAGATAGAGATCTGAGGATCAGACTTTGAAACTAGCTGAGGCAGGAAAGTCTGTGAGACTCTTACCTCCAGTTAACCACCAAAGAGCCAGAAGTAAAGTTAGGGTTCATGTGGCAGAGCAGTAGCTTTGAGAGAAAAAGCTAAGGGAAGGCAGCCAAGGCCCAAAGTTCAAGCCTAATACCAGTATAAAAAAAAAGTACACTCTCAAAAAGTTTATAGTAGCAATTTTCATTTAAAATAGAGGCACATGCCGATGTTATATCTTTTTAAATTAGCGTAGATTAATTGTACAAAAGTTTCATTGTGACATTTCTGTACATTTCATATAATATGGACTTTGATCAAATTCACTCTCTCTTTTACTCTTTCTTATTCCCCTCTCTTTCCTTTTTTTGATTAAAGAGTTATGTAAAGAAGGTTACCATTTCACAAGTCAGGTAATGAGTACATTTTGTTTTGGATAGTGTCATTCTTTCCTTCACTTTCTTCCAGTTTTTCCTTCCCAACCTTACTCACAAGTTTTGTAATTCATTTTCAACATAGTGTCTAGTGAATACCACTGCTCATTTGGTCACCCTTTGTCCCTCCATTTCTGTGATCCATTTACCCCTCCAAATAGGGATATAGGAAAAAACAAGACAAAAAGAAAAAAAAACATACTGTTTCCATTTCCTGGAGTTCATTTTGATAAATGTTATTTATCAAAGGCATTGCCCCTTTGTGTTACTCTCCTAAGAGTCTCCTCCCTTGGTCTCACTCTGTGTGGATGCCTAGATTCCTGTTCAATTGATCATGTCCAAGTATATTTTAGCTCTAGCTTCTGCGCATGAGAGAATATATGCACTGTTGATCCCTCAGGGCGTGGCTTACCTCACCTAACATGATCTTTCCTAGATCCATCTGTTTCCTGCAATGACATATTATTCTTTTTAATGGCTGTATAAAATTCCAATGTGTGTAAGTACCACATTTTTTTTGGGTCCATTGCTTTTTTTTTTTTTTTGCCTAGAATTACTTGGGTTATTCGAGATGTTTATTGTTTCATATGAACTTTTTCTCTATCTGGGTAAAGAATGTCATTGGGATTTTGATAGAGATTAAATTTAAAAATTAATTTTTAAATCATTTTTGGCAGTATGGCCATTTTCACAAACATAAGACAGTCTTTCTATTTCCCCATGTTGTCTGATTTCTTTTTTCAATTTTTTATAGTTTTTGCTATAAAGGTATTTTGCTTTCTTGTTTAGGTTTATTCCCAAATATTTTTTTCTTTTGAGACTATTGCCAATAGAATTATTTTTCCCAATTTCTGTCTCTGCTTATACATTGTTGGTATACAGAAAGGCTACTGATTTCCATGGATTAATTTTGTATCCTACAATTTTCCCAAAGTTATGGATCAGTTCTAAGAGTTTGAGGATGGAGTCTTTTGGATTCTTTAGGTATAAGATCATGTCGTCTACAAATAGTGATACTTTGACATCTTATTTCCCTAAGTGAATACCTTTTGTATCTTTTTCCTGCCTTATTTATTACTCTGGCTAGGAATTCCAGAACATTTCAATCCCTTACCCAGGCCTTTTTGGATGTCCTGCATTTTCTTGATCATTTTCAACTTGTATTCAATTTTTCTTTGATCTGACTTTTTATTTCATGTGCTAGTTCTGTCACCATTGCTTCAATAGTTCTTTGTTCTCCCTCTCTTCTTTGCTGTCACTAGAATCTTTCTTTGGGTTGTTGGTTTCTGAGAATGGCATTGTTATCTTGATTGCTCATGCATGATGTGATCTTTAACTGTGATTTACACATCTTGGGTTCAGGGTTTGTAGAGGCTGTTAAGATTAGGTATTCCGTTCAGTGGTAATGGGGTATGATTTTCTGGTTTTCTTGTGGGCAATGTATAGTTGGTGTCTCCCGGAAAGGTCCAGCTGAGTACTGTCTCTCCCCATGCTATGTCCAAAGGTGGTATATGTGGGGATTGCATGGAAGCTGTTTGTGCCCAGTTAGGTGTGAACCACAGAGTTGTGGGATGTTGTTGGTAACCTGCTCTAGGATGCTCAGGCAGGCTTCAGGGCTGGCTGGGTGTAGACCCCCAGTGCTGTGGGCGAGAGTATCCGGCAAGGTCAAGCACAGATGAGCTTTGAGAGTTGCCTAGGCACAGACCATAGGCAAGATGGGTGAGAGCTTCCCACATATGATGGATGCCCCACCTGGCTTTTGAGGCTGTCTGGGTGCAACCATCAATGCTGTGGGTGGCTCCTTGTGGGATGTAGATTCTCCCACCCTGACACTGTTGGAAGCTGGTGACATCCCACTCAGGAGTAGAAGATTGAGCTTGAGCAGGTACTGGCAGGCATCATATGTGGAGATGCATGCTTGGGCTTTTAGAGGCCCCTCTCTGTCTACTGGATGTTTTAGAGGTCTCACCACGCCTTTCTCTGGGTTAGAGGCCCCCCCCCCCACTATGCCATTGCCAACAAGATGGGTCTCCCATCTTGACTGTTGAGGTATTAAGGGACCTGCGAATATCTTTCCTGGAATTAGGGGTCCTCACTGTGTCTGCTAGCAGCAGCCCTCAGAGACTATTCCCAGGGTTAGGACCCTGCTGAAATCAGTCCTGGGGTTGGAAGCCCACTTTTGACTCGGCACTGGTGGCTTAGTTTCCCTCTCTGTATGAGTTCCTGATGGTATTAGTTCCTGTCCATATTGACAATGGGCGTGGCTTGCAAGGGTCTGGGCTAAGAGTGCTCAGTCCTGTGTGGCAGTAAACACATGCTAAAATATGGGTCCCAGAATGGGTCCCAAGTGCTTCTGGCCTCACCCAGCTCAAGACGGGGAGGCGTTACCACCGTTGTTCGGCAGCAGAATTTACCATGATGGCTGTGACCTAAAATCCTCAGAGGAAATGGCCCAGAAGTACCCCAGAGAAAGACCCCCTCAGGACTTCGGGACCCTCGGTGAACCACTTATGACCTCTAAAGAGTGAGACACTCCATCAAAGCACGGTTAAAGATAAAGTTATTTACATCAGAAAGGGGGCCTGGGCTAGATACCCAGAACCAAAAGCAGCCTCGACCATCAAACCTCCAAGCCTCCAATAGGCAGCCCCGACTTCTATTAGTCGGTCTGCAAACTTCCAAACCTCATATCTCCAAAGCGCCAAACCTCCTTCTCTGCAGGCCTCTCCACTCTCCACAGGACTGCCCTGCTCTGCTTCAGGAAGTACCTCTCCACAGGCCTCTCTTGGGGAAGGTCCCAAATGACCCCCCCAGAGGAAGCCCCAAATGGCCTCTTGAGGAGGCTTGCCCCCACCCTCCACAGGCCTCTCCCAGGCTTTCCCCTCCTGCTGTCTGTCTGTCTGTCTGTCTGTCTCCCTCCCTCCCTCTCTCTCCCTCCCTCTCTCCCCTCCCACCTTGCTTGGAACATGCAGTTTTATACATAGGCTGTGCCCCTCTCCCAATGGGACTCCAATGGGACTCAGAGTTTCATCTGCCTAGTAATTTCTAACCCCATGCTCCTCCCCCAAGCTGCCCACTGTCCAATCACTTCCAATCGGAAGCTCACCATGTGGGGCTCGAGGCCCCACCCCATCCAGCAGCATGCCC